GAAAACATGGGATTTTCAGGCAAATGTAGTGTTACCCAGGCACTGGCACTGTAAGGATGCCAACAGTCTCTACGAAGAAGGTGCAGAATATCTGCATCCACCAAAACCTCAGCTATTCACATATTAATCACAGGGGCTAACCACACAGATCCAAATGGGTGCTTAGGAGCTGATGAAGCCTTTAAGGCATTCAAAAAAGAAACATCATACATTTTCTAGCACATAAATGTGTTTAAAAAGGTATGTAATTTATAATAGCGATGTTGACAGAGCTTTAACTACATTACAAAAGCTAAACTATAATATATTTACATGTGAGCAGTACTTACTGTGTGGGTGCGTTTCTGTTGATGTGTTTCCATGTGATTCTCCATAATTTCAGCAAGTGATTGTAGTAAGGGATATTAAACCATAGTATTGATAATACTTTTACAGCTCTGCTTTGGGAAATGCATTACTGCTAAATTAGTCCCTGAAAATCTAGAGATATTAACACTGTCGAGCATGAAGGCAGATGGGATTTGGATCAGAGACCTTTATTTGTAGTATGATACTAAGGAGTCATTACTTTAAAGCAGGAACTTCGTTTCCTTGAATATTAACTCGAGTTGGGGATTTTACTTCCGCTTTGGCATGAACGAGCTTATCATAAAAGCGTAAATGGAACTCACTTGGTATTGATTTTTCTTACGCTCTAAAAAGATGCTTAATGAAACTCTGGGTACCTAGATAAAGACCTTCACTGAATGCAAAGTAAGCTTAATTGCAGTTCCCTTAACAAGCTACTGGAGATGATTTTTTTTTTTCCACTACAAAGCCCTTTCACCTATTCAGAATGTTTCTCTTCCTGTGTATGCAAGGATGCATTAATTCAGTTCCCCCCTCCCTTTCCCCCCTCCCATGAGAGGCAAACTGCAGCTTAAGGAAAGGAAAACTACTCTGCCAGTTCACGTGTGGGAAAAATTTCAGTCTTGGGGAACTTGATTTTTGAGGTCTCAATAAGAGGTTTTAGCCTTAAAAGAGGGTAACTCTCCCTCTCCCACTTGTGCAGGAGGGGAGACGGGCAGGGAGGCACGTTCTGACCCTGCGTGACAGAATTATAGCAAACCCAGAACCTGAACTGAGGTTTTTCTAACGTTTGTCCCAAGAGCTGACATCTGCCGGACCCTGCAGCTATGCCAGAGCAGAGGGAGGGCTTTTATTTTTACCCTCTGGCACTGCAAACCCCAAAGCACGCGGGAAGGGCAGGTCCGCATCATTCCCCCCTTCGCAGAGAGCAGCGTTTGTGCTCCTGAGGTTGCGGAGAAGGAAGCACCGGTGTGTTCCCTGATGGTGGGGACTCTTTCTCCCGTAGCTCCTGCTTGTGCTGCTCGCCCGGAGCCCTCTTAGTGCTCAATTGGGTTCTTTCCATTCTCCTCTTGGTAATTTTTTTTCCTCCCCCGCTGCGGGGGGTCTGCCAGAGGCTGTGGCGACGTCCGCGGGTCCTGCAGGGACCTGGTGTGACTGATGGGACCTGACGGATGCTGCTGTCCAAAAGCACTTGCGCTTGGAATTGCCACCCCCTCTTCTGGGGACACCCCTGTCACCAGAGACGCAGCCTGTCCCCTCTGCAATTTGCTTAGAGTCGATACGTATAAAGCATGATATCTGTGTTAATTATGCCGAACGCCTTCGAGCCCCTCTCTCTGATGCTGTGCAAGAAACTGTTTCTGCAGAAAATGTCAGACAGCGAAAAGACGGCATAATTTCATTTTTTTTTTTAATCATGAAGCAAGAGAGCCGGGTATTTAGCACGCCTGGGGGAAGCCAAGCAGTGCCAGAGGAGTCCCTGGCTGAGGTGTAAACCCAAGAAACCTCTTGCTCTTTCCTTTTTCAATCTTGCTTTTGTTCACGCTCCAAAGAGCGTAAGTTGGGGAATTTTGCTGCGGATTTGAGTAGGAAGATAGAGCAGCTTTGCGTCAGGTGCAGAGTAATTATTTGCCGGGGTTCTGTGCTATTTGGTTTTTATTCCCTGTGTTTTCATTAAAAGCTAATGAGTTTTTTTCTTCATTCAGAACAATAGCTTGGCCCCTGACAAGTTGTTGGTTATTTTTTCTGCTTGGACTCAACTAGCTGTTGCTGCTCCATAAACTTTATGGAGAAGTGGATTAAAGCACAAGAAGTTCTCGTAATGCAAATCCAAATGGAAAGGAAATAGGATTTGTTTTAAGTAGCTATGCGTGCGGAGTTTTTGTTGATCCTCTTTTTGTTATTGAAACTGTAAGTGGTGTTTGAAAACATTCCTAATACTAAACCAAACCAAACTCCTTTGTTTGTATTGATTCCTGTTGTGGCAGTTCAGGCAATTCGGAGTCCCGCTGGGCTTGGCACGACACATGGATGTACACGCTGCAGCCTGGGTAAATTTGGGTGACGGTAGCCTGCATGAACACGGGAAACCCCCTTTCCCCTCCTGCGCGGGGACAGCAAGAAAAGAGCACTTTTGCGGTGACCCCCCCGCCCCCCCATGCGGGAGTTACTTTGCCGAAACAGAGACCTGTGGTTCGATTCTTCCCCGTGGCTGATGCGTGTGACAGCTTCTCCTGCCGTTGGAGCCAGTGACTTATTCCTGCGAGTAACTTGCCCGGTTGGGCCCTTGTTCTTGTTCCAAACGGTTTCACGCAGCCACGCAGCGGCGCATGAGCCGTGCCACGCTGCCTCCTGCCAGTCGGAAACCAGAAACAGTTTGCTCGTTATCGCAATAATCCTGCACCTGTATCTCGTTATAGGGGACCACCTGTTACCTCGGTGTTGGTTTGAAAAGCCGGGTTTAATAGGGTGCAGTTTGGGTGGAAGAAATTGCTCTTTTTTAAGGGGCTGAACTGATGGAAACTGCCTTACAAGGCTGGCATCCTCGCAGCGCTGCGGGTAGTCGAGCCCGCAACGCCGCAGCGCAGCACGGAAGACGGCGCCTCATTAGAATGAACGCCGTGTTTTCCTACGACACTGAGCTGGTGCTATTTGGTAGCGGCTTTTTACATAGGCTTTTTTTAGACCCTTTTTATTTGAGGATCTCAAAGTGCTACGGTAAAACGGGGAAAGAAACATCCCCTTGTCGCACACAGCCGAGCAAAGCACTGAAATGACTTCTTCAAGGTCGGGCGGTCAGTGGTGCTCATGGATGCGCTTCGCTTCCCGGAGTCTGCCCAGCAGAGCGGGGCATTTCAGTCTCTGCTTTTTAACCCCTAATTCTTGGGTTTTTTTTTCTCATGGAGGTGCATGCATGAATTTCAGTTTGTTGTCACGTAGAGGAACGTGCTTTGCTTACTCCTCATGGCTGAGAAGTAGTCCGTGGGTGGGAGACGACTGTGGTACCGCCTCTGCTGGTGTCTGATCCCTTTTGGGTCAGGGACCTGCAGGTTTCTTCTTGGCATGAGCGATTAACAATGCCAAATGATGCACCTCTCAAAAGGAGAAAAGTTATTTTTCTGAATTTCCTTTTTTTCTCCGGAATCTGCTGTTCCACTCTGCATGCTGGGACAGCCGCTGGAAGCAAGTGAGCATAGAGCTGGGGAAAGAATTGATTATTTCTTGGGCCCTTCCCCTGTTAGGAAAGTTGTGATGGTTTAAATGGGGGGTTGCCAGGGACCCCTCTCCTCTGTCATTGACCGCCTTTGGTAAATCTCAAAGTCAAATCTTCAATCGGTTTTTCAAGACCTTTGAGCTTATAGTATCGGCAAGACTACCATGGCATCTGGCACCCGGTGCAGTTTGTTTTTTAAGGAACTGATCCGTGGGAGGACAATCTTGTGTGCGTTATGTTCTTCCCAGCCAGACTGTTCCTTTTGGTGAAGAATGGAAATTTTCTTGAAAACGTGCCCTTGAAGCCTGGGGTCTCTGAGAGCTTCACGCTCGGAGCGAGCAAGGGAGGGTTGCAACCTGGGATGTGGAAAATCAAACACATCCAAAATACTGTGTCACGTCTTTCTGCAGCTGGAGACTTAACGGCGTCTCCACTGTGTTGCTTGGTGGGAGGAAGAGCTTTGTAACCTCCATCCCAGGCCTTGGTACCCTTTCATCAGCGCTCGATTTAAACTGTAGGGCACAATTCCTCTGTTTGCTGAGATAAAACCTGGTTTTAGTGTTTGAACACAATTAACATCGGCTGAAAACTCACCTTTCTTGCTCTTTGTTGTGTGTTGAATGAGTAAGCAGCTGTCTTTACCTCTGTTATCAGCAGTTTGGGCTGTGTGTATTCAGGAAATGTAAGGCAAAAGCTTGAAAGACCACTTTTTTGCTTTGTTTAGGGTGAGTAGTATTTTCTTCTCCAGGTAGGCTAGCTGCACTCCATTTATATTAAAATTTGATATTAACATCTGTCACTCTAGGATCTAAGTGCCTTCTGCATAAAATCCAATATCGGCAGCAAATTCCCCGGCAAAATGTCCGCTTACAGAAAAATTCAATGAAACATCAAGCACAGGGAGGTAATAGCTACTGCCTCCACGCGCAGACACGTCGCTTTGTTAATTTGTGTGTGACTGCCTGTCACAGGGAGTCAATCTTTTTTTCCCCTACCACTCTTCAATTAAGGATCTCAAAGCTTTTTTCCTACATTATAGGAAGATTCTTCATTCTAGTGAGGCAGGTAGTGTAGTCCTCCGTTTTACAGATGGATGATTTATGCAGAGGTCATGTACTGAGGGTGAGAACACAGAATTGGACATAGCTCTGGTAGTTTGGCCCCGAGACCGGTATTTCCAGCCTCCTCCTGGTATGGCCTCCAGGTGTGAAGTCTCCACAAATCCAGCGTGAGCGTTCTTGTAGCAGGAATATGCCGCTTTAGCCCTAAATGATGAATCTGTCCTTAAACCCACAAAAGCGGGGTTGGATTTTGTAGAGATCTTCAGTGGAAGGTGGGAACCGGGAGGAAAGATGTCTCATGGTGTAGGTAATGAGATTTGGATTTAGAAATGAGTCCTTTTCACTAAAATCTGGCTCTCCTTCTCTTTCTAGGAGAGGATCAGCATGATGCTGGCTATGGACAGGACAGTTCTGATGAAAATCAGAGCTGGAGTTTGGCCCCTTCCATGACATCTGACGCTTCGTTTCCATCAGACTTCCAGGATGATGGTAAGTCACTGAAGTTTTTTGAAGTCCTTGAGTGAAGAAGATGGAAAGGTAAGTGCAACCTAGTATGAATTCCTCGTCGTCATTCATCCATCTCATAACAGTGGAAGTGTTCTGTTTTTTTTTTTGTTGTTGTTTGTTAACTGGTAGCTGGTTTATCTGTGACCGTAAAATGTTACAGTGGTCCCAAATTTAGTATTGCTAAGTTAAATGTATTTCTTGATTGTCTTGGTGCAAACTGGAGTCGGTCATTCTATTTTGGATTGACAACAGTGATGGAAAAGAGCAGACTTTGACCTGGTGGCTAGTGTTTCCCAAAGTTAAGGTGTGACTTCTGGGTGCGTTTCTTCTTGGGTGCTTAGCCTCACACTTGAAAGGGGCTGTGTCTTCTCAAACCGTGTCTCCCCCCCGCCTTTGAAAATTAGACCTCTTTAAAGTGCTTTGCTCTGGAGAGCCTTTTTGGGGACCTTCTTGTGCTTGGGAATTTGGACCTCCTTCCTGCGAGTGTAGAAGTGCTTCCAGCCGAGCGGTGGATGGGAGCCGGTATCTGAGGCCGAGGGCACTTTCCAGAGCATTAAATGTCAGACGGGGGGTTTCTGGGCAAAGAGTTGCTGTGCCGCTCATGTCTGCTTGTGCGTGGTGGTTTAGGAGTGATGGATTTGCAATACGCTGTTGAAATTGAAGCCTACAGAGCTGAGACTGTTCTGATCTTCTCAGGGGTTATCTCTGGGCCCTAGTGAAGGCTTGTCGGCTTGGGCCTCAGATTCTCAATCTCCCACTTCCCACAGATCTTGTTTCCTCCTCCTCCTCTTTCGCTTCCCTTGCACTTTTCCCCCATGCTTTCTTACCTCCCCCCCGGCCTTGTCCTTCCTCTTTCATTTTCTGCGCTTCAGTCCCTCCCCTTCTCCACCTTTCTCTGCTCAATGTGCTCTTTCATGTCTACTCCCACTCTTTTTAGTGTATCAGTAGTCATCAATCAAAGAACCCAAAGAAATGAGGATTTATTTGGGACCAGGCCATAAGTGCTGGTGGCCACCAGAGTTAGCTTCTTCGTGCAGTGCGAACCATCAGGCGTATCTGCTGCCTGCGTTGATTCATGCTATAAAATAAATGGCTTCGTTTAGCCTGATTAGAGACAAGGTTGGTCTGATAGCCCGTAATTGCGGCACGAAAAGAGGTGTGGAGTTTGGGATTGGTTGTTTTAAATAATCCGTGCGTTCAGAAATGATGCACTTACGCCGAGCGCGGATGGAGAACGGGTGACAAGGATAATGGATGTTGGCCTAAATGGGACATGAAAGGGTGCTGAAGACCTCAGGCTTGGCCTCGTCAGGCGCGCAATGTCTTTATGGAGTCTAGAGTTTCTCCTGGCGTGTTTATTAAGCTTGTCCAAGGAGGTATTTGCTTTGCTAACTTTGAGTGGTGGTTTTTGGCAGCTCCGAGGGGCAGAGTTTGACATAACACTTGCAAGGTATGCAAACACTTGGCACCGCTGGAAGTTTTCAGACACAGATGAAATGCCAGGCGCGGTGGAAGGATGCCCAAATGGGTGAATGGCAGAGGAGATTGATAACACAGAAAAATTACATACTACAAAAAGGAGGGGGCCGGAGGGAGAGTTGGCATGGAGAGCAGTTACATTAAAATGAGGTGTTAGTTCTTGGAAACTGCTCAGAGCGCTGAATAACAGCAAATTATGGGCTTGACACGGTGTGTGTTCATTCAGGATGGAAGTTGAGCAATTTTGGCTGATCAGACGCAGGCCGTTGGTAGCCTGAAACAATGATGTTAAAGGGAAAAAAGGCTGAATGTAGGATTTTGGAACCCTTTCTTTGCCCTTCCGTGGTTTGTTGGGGCAGCACCGGAATGAATTTCTCTCGTTATCTGCCAATGGGATGGGTATGGATCGGGGTTGTGATTTCCTCTGGGTTTTTGAATTTCTGTGATGACTTACTGTCAGATTTTTTTGTTGTTGTTTACTTGGGGGATTTTTTTTGTTTGCTTACTTTTTTTCACTATAGAAGGTAAAGGCACAATGATTTTTTTTTTATAGAAGGCACAATGATTTTTTTAAAAAATGAATATGAAATCAATCACCTGAGAGTTTAAATCGGTACTTCTGAGAAGTGGATTCAGCTAAAGGGTGTGTCAGACAGCCTTGGTTGCTGAGTTAGAACATCCTGGTGGGAAAAGTAGAAAGTTTCAAGATTTTATGAACTGATTTTCATCTTTTCTGTCTGCCTTGGCTTCTCCGCGTGGGCACCCTTCACTTTTACTGTGCCCCTTTTTGCTCCCACACTCTTTTATCTGTTTAACCGGTGAGGTCCCTGGAGCCGGTCCCCTGCTCCTGAGTGCTGGTGCGGAGCCTGGGCCACCACGGCCCCTCGGATTGCTGCTGTCACACCGACGGGTGATCCAGAACTGCTCCTTTCATGCATGGGGCCGATCCACCTAGCCATGGCCAGAAGAATTAATTGGCAGGTTGTAGGAACATGTCATTTCTGTGGCTTTTTTCCACCCCTCCTTTGCCCCATTTTTCAACAACAAGAGGTTCTGTCCTGAGGAGCAACCCCACAGCGCTGTTAGAATTCCTGAATTTCCCAACTTTATTAATTCAAGGTTTTAAAGGAAGCAGGTGTCTCTGACTGGGGTGATGCTCACTTCTGCCTATCCCTGCTCTGAAAAACGGGGGAGTTTGGGGGCAGGGGAATGCCACCGCCCTTCATTTTGAGCAGACTCTGCCTTTCTCGCTCCCAACTTCTCGTGGGAATGGGTGAGAACCTTCCAAGTTGTCTCTGGAGGGAGCAGGAGGGACCGAGCGAGTTGGGGATGACTTTACTCAATGAGGCATGGCCCAGCTCTATAGGATCGTCCCTAATGAGTGATTAAGAAGCTAATGTTTGTACAGTGCGGGGAGGCTGGGAGCACAGTGGAAGTGCTAAGTACTGTTATAATGATAAGTATTTCTTAGGAGACGCTTCCCATGTAATGTACTCCGCTCAGACCACTTGAAGACTTTTCAAAAATGTTTTGTCTTTTAAACTGGTAGATCACTTAATTTGCCGGCATTCGTTCATTTAGTTTTACCGGAGCGTAAGGTAGATACCGCAGCGTCCCGAGGGCCAGGAGTTGCACGTCTTTAATATTTCGCGCTTCTAAATATTGCTTTAGCAGTTGGGGTTTCCCCGCGGCTCCTTAGCGGGGCTTCCGCTATCGTTGCGGAGCCTCTGGTCTCTTGCTAGAGGGATGCTGAGCCAGGACCCCGATGATTCGGGATCGCACCGGGCTGAGGGGGTGACAACCACTGCGCCTTCTGTCCCCGCGCCTGGCTGTCGGTGCTGCGCCCGTGTCACAACAACATCAGCAACAATATATTTTCTTTTATATTACACAGGTATCCGTCAGCACGGGGAAGGGAGCATAACTCACAGTGACAGGGATATGCTTTACAGGCTCTGTTAGGCGCGGTCTCCGGGGTAAGAAATCTTGCCTCGGACTTCCAAGATTTTTCCATCGTGTCAGCAGAGAACTTTGGCCAAACACACTTACAGCTCATTCGATTCTCTGTGGGGTTTGTTTATTTTATTATTATTATTATTATTTTTTAAATATGCAAGTTCAGAGTATCTTAAAATCAGTTCCTTCATCAAAAATTCCTTTTGCTTCATAAAAATGTGTTAAAAATGGCCTTTATCTTAAAAGGTGTGGAGGGTGGTAGATGAGATGGTACTTCACTGTGGCCCAGTGGGGTGGGGATGGGGACGGGGGGGACAGATACAAATGCAACATGTACTAAAGGTTTTGGGGGGGGTTAGAAACTGTAAAGAGGTGGCACGTCTTTAATCCATCTCCAGGTACTTCTTGAACCCATTTGCACCCTGGAGGAGGCCCCATTTGCCCATGTGTGGCCTTCTAGAGATGGGTTGGGAAGCAATAAAATACCAAAGGGAGTTTTGTACGTAACTCTTCAGCACCCAGACGCTGACGAGCCACCTCGCGAATCCAGGGGAGAAGTCCATAAACTTCTCTTAGAAGTTTCTCGCCTGGTCCATGGGGGCTTCTAGCCAGGCTCTGCTCGGGGCTGCCGGTGTTCCCGTCTTCCAGGATGCTCTGTCCCCTCTCTTGGCGGTGTTTTGGAGCACTGAACCCTTTCTCCCCTGATGTGTGTAGTGTTCTGAACCGCGCGGGCTTCCCTGCGCGTAGGCAGTCCTCGCATCTACAACTTCTATTTCCCCTGTGCTTCTCACACACTTCTGAACCCTAAGGAATCACTTCCTAAATCCGGAATTAATTGCTTTCAGAACGCAGCCTGCGGGGATGGCTTGCGGTGGTACCTGGAGGAGATGGGGATGCGGGCGGGTGCGCCGCCGTGCTCGGGCGAGGGTGGGGGCCCAGGGCACGTTGTAGGGGGGTACAGGGTACAACGTACAGGGTGGGCAAGTGGGTGCTGCCCAGTTCGGGCAGGTGGTGCAGGAGGGGCTAAGTGGGTGGGCAGGGTGGGCGACGCAGGGGTGGGCGATGCACGGATGTGCCTTGGAGGTGTCAGGGGGGTA